GGTTTTATGCAGGAGACTTACTGCGATATGTTAGTCAAATACAAATCTGATCTTGCTAGGCCCTTTGATGAAGCAACCACTTTCTTGAACAAGATTGAAATGCAGCTGCGCAATCTTAGCACAGGTGCTTCCATTAGAGGCCTGTCCGGTCAGTTTATTTTCCTTATTTCTATGTTAATTTTCTTCAAGTAATCGTTTCTTTTATTCCTTTTTCTTGGCTTCTGTGCAATTTGAACCTTCCATCTCTTCCATCTAAAATTAAAACCTTTTTTATTTCTTAACCCAAATTCAACTTAATATGGGAAGGAAAACACAATACGAAATAAAGCTCCAAACATATATATAAGATTCTCCTCGCTGGGTCTATTTTTATTAGGCATTCTCTTACATCTATGACTAAGTTTTCCTCATAGCCATCATCCCGCGAAGTTACAGAAGCGACGACAACCATTCATTCCCATACCTTTTATCCTTTTCCTTTCTTCTTTTTCTGTTTCTGCGAAGAATTCCACCAATTGAGAGCACTCGTTGCCCCCTCGAAAAGAAGAAAGAAAGATGGCAGTCAATACTTGGCAATAGCAATGCATATATATAAATAAATGTATGTATTTACAAATAACCAAAACCCTAGAGATGAATAAACAAGAGGCACCCATATGATCTTACGATTATTAATGTTTGTATCGCAACTGTTTCTTGATGGGTTTTGAACCTAAATACTGGCCTCAAAAATATGTTGTGCATTTAATCTCTTTTCTTTCTCTTTGTAGGATAACCCAAAGCAATAGTAAAAAGAAAAATAAAAGCAAAAAGGGTTATTTATCGTGCTGTAATTCATGGACCTTGTAATAGTGTTGATAATTTTCTTGTTTTCTTCCCCCCCCCCCCCCAGTTGAATCGATGTTAACTGGGGGTTTTGCTTTAGTCTACTGAATATTTCCCACATCTTGTGTTTCTTTCAACTCCTTTTTTCCCCTTCCTTTTGGGGTGTCAGGTGAAAAAAAAAAGGAGAGTTTTTTGAGATTCTGATTTAGACGTTTCGGAGTCCAGTAACATGCTGAATAGTCGAATCAGTTTTTCCTTTCCAGTGCATATGATGGTATAGAAGAAACCTAGTTACAGCTTCTAACAGTACAACTCAGTGTAGTTCCATGAAATTTTACACACAGCTGATTTTTAGATCATTTGTATTTTTTCCTTCTAAAATTTGCCTTTTTTTTAATTACCTATTTTCAAGTTGTACATATTTATTTAGGCTATATATATATATAATGGTGCCCCCGGTTAAGCTTTTTTTTTATTGGATGGTCAGGGTATGAAGTTTTGCTGAAGACTAAATCTCCAAATCATCTTTTTGATAGAAAAAGAAGACTAAATCTCCAATTAACATTTAATTTAGATTGGGGAACCAAAGACTTACTCATAAAATATATATATTTTAGATTAGGGAACCAAAGAATTACCCATAAAATCATCAACTATTCACATCCTACTAAACCACATGCAATTCATTATGAAACAAATACATTGAATGCTATCCCTCCATTTTCAAGGTTTTGATTTATCAATCATGAATTGTTTATGGGGCTTGAATTTGGCATTTGACTAGATTAAGATATCACTGAAGTTATACACTGAGATTTAGTATTTGACTAGATTGAGATATCTAGTGCTTTTATTGCATGCTTTCAATCAAACCCATTGTAAGAAATAAATAGGGCAACTGCCTGATTTAAATGGCAGTGGCACTTCATAATTGCCTGTGTTCCTTATAATGCTGTTGGTACTTTCAAATGCTTCAAGTTCCAATGCTATAACCACTGAGTGGGTAGATATGGTGGGAGGGGAAGAAATAGACATTGGGAATTGTCTATGGGGCTCGTGGCTGGTTCGATCTGCAGCTAAAGTAACCTTTTTTTTTCCTCTTTCAGGTATATATCTAGTTGAAAATTGTTTCGGATATTAAATTTGAAAAGCAACTTAAGCCAGAGATGTAGTTGATTTTTCAGTGGTCTTTGATTTGAAATGCCTATAAAATTTGCACACAAATCCACCCATCACGTGCTCATCATATTGGCTCTGTAAAAGAACCGATTGGGTTGAGGCTAGCTAGACGATGTTATCTCTGAAATCTGCTTTTTATTCTTTTAAAACAATTTGGTTAATACGTTCTTATCTTCTCAGATGTTTGCTTTGCTTTACATGGTAGCTAGAAACAATTAAGGGAGAACTGCAACAAATCTTGTTTGCTATATAATAAATTAAAGTAGTGTATAATGCAAATTAATCTACCGGTAAATTTTTAAGCATGTGGGTGCAGAAAGCTGCTGTCTTTTTCTATTTGCACTGGGTTGAAGGTTGTGCAACTGGCATGGCTATAGCAGCCTTAAAGTTTAAAGGATATATACATATATGAGATGAATAAAATAAATTATAGCCTTTTGCGTAAGAAACCTGAACTGAAAAGGGTTTGTAGATATCTGCAATCAGGTTGTTTTTGGTTGGCGACTATTATTGTTTTTGCTTGAAAGTACAGATTACCTTTTGTGCAATATTCTCGCCTCTTTTTTTTTTTATATATTAAATTAGCTTCGAGTTTTTCTTTTTTTGCATGTCAGTTTGTTGTCCTTAATCTTTTTTTATTGAGCGAAATTAAGATTCTCTAACGTTACATTATGTTGTTGTATATATATACATGGTATGGTTTGAGTTATCCAATGGAACATATTGCTATAAATCCACATGCTTTCGAGCAATAATAACTTTGGTTGCATGAGTTTTTTTAAGCGCTACATCAATCTCTGAGGTCCAGTATTCATCCGGAATTGAAAAATTAATCTTGAGGTAATGCTGCATGCAAACTACCAACTAATTAATTAGGATTTGAATGTTTAAGGCTACTTTCTCACTTTTGATTCATACAAACTGCTTGAGGGAAAAAATAAGTTTAAGTTTGTTCAAATATTTTCTCTTTTAACAGACATTTTCACAGTGAGCTAACTAGTGTTATAACTCATGCTATGTTTCAAACAAATGAATTCTACTAAAGTGTACCGAAATTTATCGTTAAAACTTTACTCTTATTGATATTGGGAAGGTAGATTTACAAATGATCATTGCCATAATATCTTCCTTGCCGGACTCTTCCGGACTCTTCCGGACATCAGTATATAGTTGATGTTCTTACTGCAATCATTTCTATATTTGACCAGCTGTTTCCTGCGGTTTTTCTTTTAAATCTAGCTAATACATGGTAGGGATGGATTGTTGACAAAAATAAGCAAATTTGTTATTATTGCTGGATATAGTGATTGTGCTTCTATATGGCATGCTATGGGGCACAACATGCAAATTGCTTGAATTTCAATGTTAGGTCTCCGAGTTTTCTTGGATATCTTTTTTCTTGCTTCTGCATTGACCTTGGTTGGTAGGTTAGTGGGTTTACGGATGAATCTTTGGGATTGTTATTGATATAAATAGCAAGGGGTTTGCATGGATGAAGTAAGTCTGAGTTGCTATTAGTGTCTGGAAGTGAACTTCTGGTTTTCTAAATTGTAGTAATGATTTGGACATGTTGATATACATATAGATGTTTGTGTTTATGGGCGCATAAATAGGAAGTTGATAGTAAACCTTGTTCATGGTCTGTGTTTCTTTAGGCAATGTAAAACTTTACTTTGAATTTTCTCCAATTGAAATTGCTATGTGTATATATGTTTTGTTTTGAGGGCCTTAGCCCATATATATATATATATATTGTATGTTTGGGGAGAGGCCTAGGGTGATCTGAGGTAGGCAGCACATGGGTATTCGTATGTGATGTTAAGAAGACAGGACATGGTCAGTTGTCTTCACACTCAAAAGAATCATAAGAATGAAAAGGATTTTTGTAAGAGGCAGCTGCATGGGGCATCTGTAAACAGATGAGTGGTCTTCTATTTTTTTCCCCTTAAAAGAGGGAAAAAACAAAAAATTTCTTTAAACAGGATGATGAAAATTCACATGGTCTCCCGCAGATTTCGCTGTGAGCCAATAAATCAATCATCATCCATCAGCTGTTTCTTTTTCATTTTCATATATATATATATATATATATATATAGGAGGCATTTTGAAGGGTGTGGAGATTATTAGGTTAGTGGGTGAGTGTTATTTGGGTGGGGTTATGCATCACACGTGTTTGCATTATTAGTAGGGTTTAGTTTATATCCAGTGAAAGCCTAACCATTAACTTGGCGATGCTTGGGTGGGTGGGGGTATAGTAGTATAAATTTCATGTTTTGAATGCTGGGCAGTGTGTTATTTTGATGGGTTGGGAAGTAATCCAACATGATAGACACATATATATACATAAATACATATATATGAAAACATATATAGTTTGATTGAGATTGTGAGTGGCAGGTGGGGTTTAGTATAAGAGAGAGGGGAAATGGAAAGTGGGCTTATTAGTGAGTGGGACATGGAAATGGGTCTTTCTGTTCGAAAAGCCGTAGGCTTTAAAAGCATTTCTGTGTGTTTATATATATAAAATATGCATGGAGATGGAGATGGAGATGGGAGATTTTGGGGGAGTGTGCAAGAAGAGGACTGCAGGGAGCGTGGGATGCGGGGGGTTAATCAGGGTGGTCCACGTGGCATGTTCTTATTTGATGGTCTTACTGAGTTGTCAACTCAGACTGCAAACTTTCACTGACAGCCAATATTACACGACGCTGCTGGGCTCAGATGTTTTAATACTAAATAAATCCTGGATTGAGTATTTTTTTCCCATTTCCAGCTCTCTGTGTTTCGTCAGCTTCTTCCTGGGTCCAGTCTTTTCCTTTCTCCTAAAACCCTTACTCTCTTTACTCAATAAATTCAGAAAATAAAAAATGAAAAATCCAGTCGTTTCTTATTGAAGTAAATTCTTCTAGAGGAATAAAATGTTTTCTATGTTACTATATATAACAAGCCATTTGGAAAAGCTCTTGCATTTATACACATAAAATTGAAGGATGTTATATAAGTTGATGATTGGATTTTTTGAACTGTCAGTTACTAAAGTAATTTCATTTCCAAAATCTAAGAGACTATTAAGACAGTTTAACTTGATAAAATGAAAACTCTTGGTTTATTTTCTTTTCTGGAGAAGTGGCCACTTTAAATGATCCTCTCATTACATCCAACTCATCATCCATCTTAACTCGCAATCAATGTATGTGTGTGCATATATATATGGTGAGAGAGAGGGAGAGAGAGAGAGAGAGATTAATCTTGTCTTTGAATTTTATACAAGTTTACCGATTATCAAGAACGTAATAATACCATTATAATGAGGAAAACAATGCCGTTTTTAACTTGGTTTGACATTTTATATGAATAGCAAGAATATGTTTTTGACTATATGTTATTCAGTGAGTAATGTAGTTGTTATACATCGGTTATGTAAGCTAATATTTGTTGTATGAAAATTGAAAATGATAAAGTGGTGTCAGAGGATGGTGCAGCATCATCGGAGGATGAGTTTAGCGGAGGGGAGATTGAAGTTCAAGAAGGGCAACCTAGAAGCGACGACCAGGATATCAAAGATAAACTTCTGCGTAGATTCGGTAGCCATATTAGCAGTTTAAAGCTCGAATTTTCCAAGAAGAAAAAGAAAGGGAAGCTGCCAAGAGAAGCCCGGCAAATTCTTCTCAGCTGGTGGAATGTTCACTACAAGTGGCCGTACCCAACTGTAAATTTATTTTTCTTCCCCATCCAATTCTCTTTCAATATGACATAGCTTTCTTACCAGGATGAAAACTTTGCATATTTTAGTTTAACTGTTTTTAATCCCTCAAAAATTAGGAAGCAGATAAGAATGCGCTGGCTGATTCGACGGGTTTGGATCAGAAACAAATCAACAACTGGTTTATAAACCAGCGAAAGCGGCACTGGAAGCCATCGGAGAACATGCCATTTGGGTTGATGGATAATATATCAGGTCAATTCTTTACAGGTGACTAAAATGGTGCATTTCAAATGTATATGTCTTCCGTCCTAAACTAATTAGTTAATATTTTATGGTGGTTAATTTTATGTATATTCTCTAATGGAAAACCCTACTCTATTGCTTACTTCTCTGGGAAAGTGGAAATAATTATTCTACTCGGCTTCATGTATATTAATTATTCATAAAAAAAATTGCTTACATAATTTAAATTACTAATCTTTGTAAGTAGGTGGAGTTATTTATTTATTGTGTTGTTGCAAATCAATCTTTTTATTGTAATTATTCCTTTTGGGTTTATTTTTGGTAATTTTGGTAAGATAGCTACCAATTACAATTTGTATTTCGAACAAATTAATTTTTTCTATTTATGTAAATTTCATTGGGAACTGACGTGACAAAAATATCTTGTTATATGCATGAGTGAAGATCGAAAGTTAAACAAAATTTTGATCCATAGAATCAACTTGGCCCGGGCTCATGTCATCGTGGGCTGGGCATATGTCATGGATGGAAAACAGAAGAACCTTCATGCATATGCATACGTGTGCGTATATACATATGCATACATTAGCCATGCTTGGTGCGTGCAATCTATCTCGGAACCCATCGCGGATTATTTCCAAGATCATGTACAGCATGCCAAAGCACCATAATAAAGAAGGGCAAATAGTCACCACCAATAATTGACCAACCAATCGCGTTTCTATATAATCTAAAACAGATTTAATTTTATAAATGCAACAAGAATCATGGGTTGAAGATTATCTCCATTGGTTTGATTTCAAATGCACTCTATCATAATTCTAGAGTTCCCGTTTGAAATTTCTTTTTCCCCAGTTATTGTAACTTAATATAATGATTTGCCTCGTAACAAAAAGAGAACAATGATGTGAATAAGAAACCATGGTAACATTTTACCAAACATGTCGTGGGCATTTATCTTAACCAGCATATTTGAATCTTTCTTGCCTCTTCGGCCAAATCAAAACTTGCGTTACACATAAACAATGCTCGTTAATCATTCCAACCCAACAAAAATGTTTGAATTAACTCAAAACAATTAGATTCCGCCTAAATTTCCGTAATACATGAAAATTAAGAAGCATACGCCTATGTCGATGCCTCCCATACTCAATCCCTGTATGGTGGAGCTCCACCTTCTTTTTAAATGGATTTTTTTTTCTTTAGAAGGAAGAAGAAAAAACGAAGACGAGTGCTTTCAGATTTTGGGCGTCGATTTCTTGCGAGTGTTGATGGGAGAAACAATGTTAGGTTTTGTGGGATATTTGTGAAAATAAATCCTTTTAAGGGTAAAATTGGGAAGTAAATATTTTAGATGGCACAGTTCATTCTTACCAGTTTTATAAAAGCGATCCCCGCGAGTTTAGTACACTGGTTCTGCTATCAACAAAAGCTTCCAGGAATGGCTTCTATGCCTCTCTTTCTTGGGAGCCCCTCCGCTCCATACCAGCTACATTCTGGGTCCAGAAAGCTGCCGGTTCGATGCGCCGATGAGCGCCAGGCGCTCTTTAGCCGGATTGCTCCTGTCTACGATAATGTGAGTTAACTCTCTTTCTCCCTTCAATTTCTCTCTGTCATCTTCTCAACTTTCTTATTGCTATTTAACCTAATGGGACCGTATATTTGGTTTGAGTACCATGTAAATCTAGTTAAATGATTTGTTGAGTTTGGGCCAGCATCGAATCTGGAAACGTATGGCTGTATCCTGGAGTGGGTGGGTAGATTTACTTCTTTTCAATGTGGGAACCTTTTTTTTTTTTTTTTTTTTTAATGCTGTTGTGGAATGAAATATGTTGAATATTGGAATTCTTGAAACAGAGCTAAAATGGGAGACCGTGTGCTGGATTTGTGTTGTGGAAGTGGGGACTTGACATTTCTTTTGTCTCGGAAAGTTGGACCTGACGGCAAGGTTAGCTCCCTTCTTTCCTCTTCATCCCCTGCTACCATTAGTGCTTGATTTCTTTTCACTACCCTTAATTATTTGGTTTTCTTTGATACCTGGAGGCTGGAGTTGGTAAAAGGAGAAAAACAGAATATTTTCATCTTATCAATTTACAGTACCATACGTTTAATTCAAGATAATGAAATAAAGAATTTAAATTGCAGGTTAGTGGTCTAGATTTCTCAGGGGAGCAATTAGCAATTGCATCATCCCGGCAACTCCTACTTCCAAAGCCCTGCAATGAAAATATTGAGTGAGTATTGGTAAAGCTTAGCTTGTTACATTTACGTGTTAACTAGAACATATTCGGTGTTAATGATGGGAGGATAAACCCTGGATTTTGACATGGTATAATTCATGGATAAAAGTCAAGCCTGTATGATGGCTATTGTAACTTATCTGGGAGTTGGGACTGTGAGTTCTAAGCTGATTTAACTCTATGTAGCAAGAAGTATGGTAATATTTTTTACTATATAACAGGTGGATTGAAGGTGATGCCCTCAATTTGCCATTTTCGGATGGTTACTTTGATGCTATTACAATGGGTTATGGGCTACGCAATGTGATTGATAGGCCTAAAGCCATGGGAGAAATGTTTCGAGTTCTGAAGCTAGGTGCTCTATTTTTTCTCAATGATTCTCTGGAAATTTAGTATCTGCAGAACTTCAAATGTTGACTTGGCTAGAAAATCTCAGTCTTCCCCTCGCTTTCAGGTTCAAAAGTATCCATCCTTGACTTCAATAAAAGCAATGAGCAATTTACCACCTCGGTTCAGGTAATTGTTATGAGTTTCAATGATGTCATTATTTATATGAAGTACATGTTGAAACCCAAAGAAATAGACTCTTCTAGCTGTTTTCCTTTACACATGTTTTAGACTCTAGACTGTAATTAGTAACCCCATGAAACTGTTAAGGAGCTAGTTATCTATCGAATATCATCATATATTTGGTTATTGTTGTGTCATTATGCACCATGTTTGTCAATAGCATTTACTTATACCTGCCGTGCACTCTCATTAGTACTTGGAAAATGAAATTTTCATTTTTTATTTCGCCAGGATTGGATGATTGACAATGTAGTTGTCCCAGTGGCAGCGCTCTATGGTCTTTCAAAGGAGTATGAATATTTGAAAACTTCAATCAAGTCTTTTTTAACAGGTTACCTCTCCTTCAATAAATTGTAACTCATGCTTTTCTAGATAAATCGAGAATTAACTGGTGCATATGGTCTTGACAAGCTTAAGTTTAGAGATCCTATTCAATTCTTGCATAATTCTATTATTCATGGATGTTTGTCAGTTTAATTTCCGTGGCCTTGGTTAGATTCTCGATATTTCTATTCAGGATAATTTATTTTCATTGCAAAACCAGTGGCACTACATCTGTACTTCACTTTGTTAAAACTACTCAAAGAAGGAGCTTTATTCTGGAAATATGAAGTTAATGTGGAAGGCCTAAACTGAAATCAATAGTTTTAACACAAGGAGGGTCTATTGCTATAATAATTGGTTGCTTGTTGGGCATGCTTCTTTTTCAGGGAAAGAGTTGGAGGAGTTGGCTTTGGAAGCAGGGTTTTCTGATGCCAGACATTTCGTGATTGGTGGAGGTCTCATGGGAAACTTAGTGGCCACTCGGTAGGACAGAGTTCAGGATTGTAACTATACAAGTAACACAATTAATTTATGGAGTCTCATGTGTTGGCAGGATGTTGCAAAACTGAGTTTTCAATATGAATCCATGAGTTAAGGATTGTGTTGAGTGCCTGTAGATAGAGTAGTGAATATTGATTAATGAATCAAAGTAAATTTTTGAAGTTTATTCTGTAGGTTACGACCTATCCTTGTACCCCTCCAAACTCAACATATAGAAAATGAAATTTCTATAGATTTTGGGTCAGACTAAGATAACAAAGGATCTGAATAATCTATTTTTTTATGGTCTCCCTTCCTTCCTGATTTTAAATCGAAGTTAACATAAAAAAAAAAGAAAAAATAATTAGGATTAGTTGGACTGGGTTCAAAGTTTTAAATTCCTGACAGAAGATCAAAGCACATTTTCAGATCAAACCAATCCAGTTTTATGGTCTGGACTCAAAATTGAACCCCTTTAGTTTGATTGTGGCAACTCAAGAGAAAATGGTTGTGCTGATAATCAGCTGCATTTTTCATATGTATGGATTACCCCTTTTTCTTGGTTAAGGGTAAGTCAAACTGATGACAGAAAAATTTATGACAAATGTTTAGAAATGATAACACCTGTTTACACTATCATCTATATTCGCAAGTTCCTCATCTGACAGCAGCTTGTAGCTATGTCACAAAACATTTTTTAATGAGACTAGACAACTCAAGTTTGATTTCTTAAACCCCCTTTGGGAGAACAAAAAAGGATCCTCATCTTAATTTCCATGCTAGACTTACAAAATTTATCTTAACTATTCTCTATAGATATGTACGAATTCCTGGATTATAACAGTTACAACCACCTCGCAATCATAAATGTAAAGCAACAAGATGCTTCATCAAGGTTGGTTTTACCTTCACCCTATCCTGTACAGAGGTCATCTGGGGTAAAAGGAGCTGTAAGAGACATTGGCAATGGATGCATAAACAGCAGAATCGTGGGGTTGAGATGGGTTGTCCAATGCATGGTTAAGTTCCATGGTCCTTTCGTCCATGAAAGGGGGATTGGTAGGTGCAGGGAGATTTTCATCCTTCTTTGTTAACATCTGCAGTGCCTTTGACATTGATGGTCGCAGTGATGGTATCTCTTGAGCGCACAGAAGTCCTATATGCACCGCTCTTAATATCTCATCTTTAATGTTGTTTCCATTGTGGAAGTTATTTAACATTAGATTTGGGTCATAGAGTTCCTCAACTCTGCCTGCTTGAAAATGCTTCCACGTCTGTTTTAACCCAGAAAGTTTAGATCAAGAACGAAAGCATAGGTATTCATTTCTAGCTAATAAAAAGACAGTCACTTGTTGAAAAGATGATGAAGTGTCTGACTTACTAATGCCACAAGGCTGTCGGTATAATCTGAGGTTTTGCTACCGTTGTTTTGCTTTGCTGTGATAATCTCCAACAGAAGGACACCAAAGCTATAGACGTCTGCCTTTTCCGTTAATTGGCCATGGGCTAGGTACTCTGGAGCCATATATCCTCTGCATATCCATTACAGAAATTTTCAGGATAATATAAGAGATGGAGTTCTAAATCAATTGCAAGACCATTAAAGGGGAATATACATATACTCACAGGGTGCCGGCAATAGCTGTGCTGATGTGACTCTTGTCCTCCTGGAAAGATCTCGCCAACCCAAAATCAGCAATCCTAGCCCGGAGTTTTGAGTCTAACAAGATATTACTGGCTTTTATGTCCCTGTGAATGATTCTAACATTGGAGTTCTCATGAAGGTAAACTAGACCTTCTGCAGTCCCAATAATAATCTGGTATCTCTGCTCCCAGTTAAGTGTTTTACCTCTGGTTGCATCTGCCATTATCAAGAAAAAAATACCGTAAACAAGCAGACTAAGATGAATGATCTGGACCTGAGAAATACATAGTAGTTTAACAAAGAAAAGCTTCTGAAATTACCAAAGATGAAACGATCAAGACTCTTATTAGGCAGGTATTCATAAACAAGAAGGCTTTCAGGTCCTGAACAACTGCATCCCAACAGCCTGACCAGATTCTTGTGTTCCACGCTGCTGATGATGTTTACTTCATTGTAGAAATCTGCTGCTCTATGTCTGTTGTTAAAGAAAAGCCTCTTAACGGCAATCTCTCTTCCATCAGGAAGGATTCCCTAAAACATGGATATGAAACTAATTATACATCCAGACCAAGTATGGTGTAAGAATTTCTCAACACTAGCTAACTGCTAAAGAGAAAAAAATACAAGAATTGTTATACTTTATAGACTGTCCCAAATCCTCCTTGTCCAAGCTTGTTGGCCTCGGCAAATGATCCTGTAGCCTTCTCTAGTATAGAGTACTTGAAGTTCAAGCTACTGTCACTTAGGGTTTTCACCAAATTTTTAGCATCATTTGAGCCTGGAAGCCAGATAAAGAAGAATTTAGTCCATGTTTCCTGTTATCCTTTATACAATCTTGGAGTTTGAATGCTTGGAAGCAAAAATTTCTTTTTACCTCTTCTTTTCTTTTGTATGTATCTATGCTTCCAGATATAAGCTCCAACAGTTATTCCAACCACCAAAACAACAACGGAACTGATAACTGAAACTACTATCACTATTATGGAACCTGACAAATTAATCAATAAAAAATCATTATATTTAGAGTTAATCTTTTCCTTTTCCAATCCTTCAAACAATATGCTGGCATGGAGGAGATAATGGCAAAGGTTTTTTGGTTCTTTACCTCTTGAACTTCCATTTCCTGGTTCCTTGTTGAGGAAATCTTTATCAGAATACCTCATAAAACACCCAGTAAAGAGTGCTCGTCCCTCTGATGAAGGCAAGCATCCCAATACAGACGCAGAGGCATTCTCCAGACAGGCCCTGCAGGAGCTTGCATTCAGAGTTCTCCAGCAATCAGCCAAAACATGAACCGATTCATTTCTTGTCCCTGGAATTGCAACTTGACTCCGAGCATATAGTCCATTATGTGGTGCTGCTGCAACTGCTCGCATCACAGCCTGCCTTGCTGCTTCTTCAAAGGTTGAATTCTTTCTTGTGATATTTCCACAAACTGACGTGTCTTGAGGTCCTTTATACTCTTCAAAGAAGCTATAATTCTCAGATCTCATGAAGCAGCCATCAAGAAAAATGCGACCACTGTTATTTGGGTAGCACTGGGGAAGAACCGTACGTGCCTCAGCGTAGCATAATACACAGTCCAACAGTGAGAGGTCCCCATAACATTGAGCAAGACCATAGTTAGTGTCAGGTCCTGAACCTGTAACTGCTTTTCCAAAACCAGAAGTCCGCATTTGTTCACTTATTTTTTCCATAGTGGCAACAAAGTTTGGAACAAAGATTGTTGCGTTGTTCTCACGCTGGTGTCCGCACATGATTTGCACTGTCTGCGTTCTTGCGTCTCCTCCAACTCTTTCAAGTATTAATAAGTAACCAACAAGAAACAGGAAAGCATGGGGAGAACGGACCACTCGGGTTGCTTTCTCCATTTTCATATTTGAAGATGAAATTGAGTTAGACTCTTTGTTGTTTTGATCAGAAGCTGTTGGAGAAGCGAAAGATGGTTAAGAAATTTAGAATACCATCAAATAGCAAGAAGATAAGAGCATTGAAACCAGGTGAAATTAGATACGAAATTGTGCAAAAAATCAATCAAAATAGTGAGCAATAAGATGGTAAAGAAGATTATATTTAGGACTACTACCCTCTGTCCTGTTGGTGACATGTCAACATCTCCTACCATAAATGGTAGTGAAATGAAAAATGAAAGGCACCCTGTGGTCAAAACAATCCTCAGATCAAGATGGATGTTCAAAATCAAAGCAATTGGGATTCAATCCGTGGCACGGTCTTTCAACATATAAGTTTTTTTCATGCCAAGTATGCCTGAAAGTCAAAAAGGCAGTCTCAGATTGGTAATAAACCGTGTGACAGTTAGCGCACACTCTTGAGTTCACACTAAAACGAATATCCTCTTAAATAGATCTGAAAACCCGCTGGTCTCCATTAACCAATTCTCTCTTTTTCTGATCAAAATCAGAGCCAGGGAGATCAACCCTGTTCATTCTTCATAATCTGAAATAACTACAATCTATTCAACTTTCGATAATTACCTTAAGGAGAAACACTGGTTGTCTTAATCACTTAAATTGGTTACTGTATTTAAAATTCTGAATTCAGAATGCATTTCTAAATTTTTTTTCTCAATTTGATTTTAACATATGAAAATAACGAACGGGAAGCAATTAACGGAAAACAAAAGAAAAAAGAAAAAGAAAGAGAAATAGGTACAATCACTCATATTAATGTAGCGTAGCCCACCCTAAACTACAACCAAACACTGCAATAAACATTGATTTAATAATTGACAACACTACCAAAATAAATTACTCTGAACCGTAAAGTAAGCCCCAGCCAGTAAGAACAGGATGCAGGGGTCCACCTTCAATTTTTTATTTAATGACGAAAGGAAAAACCTGTTTGATGAAAAAAAGACAAATTAAAATTGTCTAGAACAAATTCGGCATAAAATAATAAATAGCCCTGCGTGGTCCAACCAAACCCCATTAATCAGTACCAAGAGAATGGACCCGCCCAGTTAAAGTAAGCACTACTTCTTCAGATTGTAACAGAACCACAAATTATAGAACACAGAAATATAATTCTGGTTATAAATCCATCGGAGCCAATTAGTAAGGGACATCTATGAGCAATTTTAGAATGTGATTCATACTTCCAGTACCACGTGGTCCACTAAGTTGGTTACTCTGTTTAGCATGCTGCTAGAAGATGCATCGGAAGAAGCAGACAAAAGCCTAAAATGTATTTGGACTTGCGTTTTCAGAAAGTTCGTAGTTCGACTTATTACGAAGGTTAAATGTATCTAAACGTCGGAACTTCAATTTCGCCCTTCTTACTCTATCGGAGAAATGAAGCAGATAGTAGTGAGATTTCCTGATTACTATCCGTGAAAGGCAGTTGATGATGAACTTGGAGATTCGTTAGGACATAAATCAAACGGATAAGAACGTCGATCCAAAATTTAGAGATTGTTTTAGGAGATAGGCGGAAAATAAGATGCAGCAAAAAAGGATAGAGAATTGAATCAACAGAAGCTTAAAACCAGCAATTGAAGATCGGGAAACTTACCTTTTTCTGAATGAGTAGCTAACAATCCTTGATTCAGTGCATGAGAAGGAGATGGATTGGAAGTCAAGGAAGTAGAAAGGTGCGGACGTTGGAGTCAAAGTGAGAAGTAAATTTTATGGCTGGAAAATTTGAATGGTAGAGAGAAGTGGATTCTTGAGACCTCAAAAGCAGTCGTCAAAAAAATGCAAACGCGGTAATCAACAAACTTTGCCAACCGAATTAAACCGCATGTTAAGTTACATTTATACCCTTTATTTGTGGAGCGTGTCGTCAATTAGTTACTGCTTAAATGTGTTTTTACTCAAATCTACTAATTTTTGTTGTTGTTTGATTTGATATCTATTTTGATTTTGTGGCAATTTCATCTTTGTGTTTTAGAAAACATGCAAATTAATTCCTCTCAATTAATGAATTTTAATTGCTGTGGTCACAGGACGTCACGTAATGACCACGTGACTTAAAATAGATAATATAATTTATAATTTATTAAAAAAATAAAAATAATTTTTTCTTTTTCTTCTTTGTTCCAACTTTTCTTTCTCTATAAATTTTTCTTTTTTCTTCTCTCTTCTATTTTCTTTCTCTATAACTTCCCTTTTATCTCTCTGGTGTTTTTTGTTATCGGAGAAAACATGCGACAAAATCCCTAAATACATTATCCTTTACTTCTACACTGCCATTCATGATATATCCTTTTTTCCCTCACTTCTCCACGTCCACCACCATTATTGTAAAGTTTCTAGCCCTAGATCTAGACAAAAATCTTATGAAAGTGTAAGGAAAAGAGCAAATAGAACTTATTTGTACTGTATGACTAAAGAACATGAGATGGGCGAAAACTCTAATCATCATCTCCAAAATTTTCTTCTCATCTCTTATTCCATAAGTGTAATGAATTGCTATTTATGTGCCTTATGATTTTCACGTGCACCATTCACACATACACACACAATCAATCCCATATCAATCGTAATTGTAAACGATATTGTTTGCATAAATATATATATATATATATACACACACACACACACATGCACACATATATCTCCATATGTCACGTCTATCATTTCTTAACGACTCCATGTGTCTCGATCTTCAACACACCCATGCAAAATGGAGAGTACAAGTTTCTTAATCTCATTTTGGATAGGTGCAAATGGAATGATGCTACAAGCAATGCTTTAGTAAGCACGTCAGCTACTTGCTCACCACTTATGACATACTCTATTATTAGAACCTCTTCTTATATTTTTTTTCAAATTAAATGACAATCCAGTTCAATATGTTTTATTCTCTCATAATACACTGGGTTGGCTGTAATGTACAATGCAACCTTGTTATCACAATATAGGGTAACAGTCTTACTATATCCCATATTTAGATATGTCAACAAGTACTTCAACCAAGTTATTTCTCTCCACTTTACTTCCTGCATTGTTTATCCTCAATTCATCATTAATCTGGCTTGCTTCTTGATTATTCTACATCTCAGGGATTGTCTGATTTTGGTTCCTTATGTTCTCCTCTCTAGCCTTATATACTTTATATAACATTTACCCATTTATGAAGTATAATATTTCTCAATACAAATACTTGTCCACTTTCCATATCCAATATATTATACCCTTGCATTTTAAAGGGATAGTAAAAAAAGACTCACTTCCTTACTCTTGAGTCAAATTTGTGTCTATTACTTGTCAATGTTTAGTCAAATGTTACACAATCAAATAATTTCATAAGGCTTGTTAATGTACGATATTTTAAAGGGAGTTTTGTATTGAATCTGATAAGAACACTCTGTTCATGTTGTACACTACAGTTAATGTAAACTCATTTCATTTCTTTAGCTCTAGCCCACTTTGAAATCTTAATATCTTGGATATGTTTAACATCTGTTTGTGCTTTTCTTCACTTTTTCATTTTGTTGTGGTATCTCTATATAGTTTTTCAGATGCACTATCTATTTCTTTAAATAGAAGTACTACATGTAAAACTCCCTTCCATTGTCACTCTATATGACGTTAATCTTTACACCAAATTGTGTTTCTACCCAAACACGAACATTTTATAGTAGGACCTATTTCAAACTTGTTCTTGAATAGAAATAACCAAGTACACATGTTATAATCATCAATGAAAGACAAAAATGTATATATATATATATATATATTGTATGAGACCTCATAAAAGGGTGTTTGATCTTCGAAAATATTCTAATCTTACTTGTGTGAACTAAGGTAGTCACAAAATTAATTCACCGTATCCAATTTACAATTCATAGCCAACCAATAATGTAAATATGTATCAATACAAATAAAGAATCAATCACAAAAATAAATAAACACAAGATTTATGTGAAAAACTCTTTAGTGTTAAAAAAAAATTATGGGTCAAACTCTGAATCAATTCCACTGTCAAAGTAAATATGTACAGAATATTCTCAAATAATTCATGCTTGAGATCATCAATAATACAGAAAATACATCAATGTCAATTCCTTCTTGAATGATCACACCAAAAAATTTAGAGGATAAATCTTTAAAATTGTTCCAAAATAATACACTATAATAAAGTAAAATAAAGATTACTGCACTTTGCAACTTTTCTCTGGTCCTGTGCGTGAGAGAGGGGATAAAACAGAACTAAAGCCCTCTGTCTTTCTTTACTTGGTTTACATGAGAGAGTGTGAGATGAAAAAAAGGAAGTTGCAGCCACCACTTTTTTTTTTCATTTCTGTGTGTGTGTGTGTGTATGTATATATAGGAGAGAGAGGAAACTATTTCCCTCAAACTTGGCAACCTTATTTTTTTTTTAATTTATTTGCGACGTGGGCTAGACACAAAAACAAACATAAGGTCCCCAAATATCACAATGTATAAGATAAAATAACATTCATATTTATGTTCACTAACAGTAAATGACAATCTATTCAATCTATCAAGTAGATATACATCACATTGTTTGAGTTCCACATTACTAAACAATTTCAAAAATAAACCTAATTTGGGTAATGCTGAATGCCCTAAATGAGATTGTAGGAGTTCAAACTCCTTCATTCAGTTATCATGTTGTGCCCCATCTACCACAAAAGCTTGCTGATTCTCACAAAAATAATATCTTCTTTGCTGCAAAATATACAAACCATACTCCTCCTTACCTACTCAAATCGTCTTCTATGTCAATGTTTCATGTATCACACAAATTTCAAATAAAAAATCAAGCAGTATTAATGATCTTTGGCCAATCTTCTAGCCGATATTAGATTAAAATTAAAAGTGGCTAACATGTGATATTATTAAAGATAAAATCATATGATACCTTTACGTCCCTGTATAAATAACTTTTAGCTCTTTTTCCAATTGACAACCCTACAGTGTAGGTTTTGTTAATTGCATTATCTATCTACAAATAATGTGGTCTCTGCACCAATTATCTAGGGGATTATTACTAATCCTTATGACATTACTTTATATGAACTGGGACAAAAAACACATTAGAGAGTCTCAGTCGGATGTTGTATGTGGATGATAAAGGTTGTATTCTTAACCATGTGGATAGAGGCATTATTTTGCTGTAGTAATGTTATCACCGTGCATACTGTTTATGGGTGATCATGTTGCAATTCCCCAGTCCATTAATC